CTGGTTGGACAGGAAAGTTAGCTTCTCTCAACTCCTGATATTAATGATTTAAACTTCAAGGTTTTCTATGTGACATTGAGAGCATTAAGCAGCAAACAACTTCATTGGAGTAATGTCTACCTGAGAAGAGAATGTGTGTGTGTTGTAATCCGAGCTGCTCCTTGCATCGTTGACATATGGCTGCGTGTGCTTTTAGTGCATGAGGGGCCGTCGCTCTGCACCGCGCTCACATGATGGTTACAGCAGATAGCGTCGTGGAAGCGTATAGCACCCACCCTCCGGTTCCCCCTCAGGTAAACACCGTTAGCTCTGTCAGCACTGTTGCCGTTGTTTGCACCGTTAGCGATGTTAGCAGCGTTAGGTGCTAGCCCTGGCTCAACCGTCGCCATGTTGAGAGTCATGTGGAAGCAATAGATGTGCTCTGGATTTCTATCGAGCTAAAGAATTAGACTGGCAATATATTATAGTTCTGTTATGTTGACAGAAAACAATTCCAACAATGTATTGATCCTACTGACAAGTGGGTTGATTAATCTGCAAAATATTTTGACATCTAGTCGAGTCTTGGTTTGGTTTGTGAAATGATAGAAATTTGTGAAAAATGCCAAATACAAGTTCCTAAAAACCCAATTTGATATTATTTAATTGTTTTCTTCGCACTTATGCATAAAAGGTTACTTCAACGATCAATTATCCAATTCAATTTCTTAATTGACAGCTTGATTCAGATCTACGAACAAGCATTGTCCGTGTAGCCAAAGACCTCCATTGTTGTTTTACTATTGAAACACACTGACTAACATGTTCCTTCATTACAGTGACCACGGGCAGTGTCAAGTCCACAGCTCCGGTTTCAGAGGTGAAGTTCCCCATTCATTCACTCCACTTGTTTCGGAAAATCCATGCTTAAAGAGTTTTAAGCATGGAACCAAGCCAACCAACCACGAGATGAATTGTGACCATAAAACAATTTATTCTGAGCCAAAAAGGAGTTGGAAAATGAAAAAAAAAGACTGTGTACATTATTATTTTAAGAGTGAAGGAACTACTCATCCCATAAACCGCTGCGAATGGTAATTGCCGCCTCTGGAAACTCCTGACAAACTTTTTAAGTAGCCTTTTTAATCTAAAACAGAGATTTATCAACTGCATGCCTTGTTTCTCACCTCAAATGTTTTCAGAAACACATTTCGGTGATTTAATTTCATTATATAAGAGAAACTTTCCAAACGAGCCGCCATGTTGGTCCGTTTTGAAATCCGGTAACAGACCGTGGAGCAACGTCTACGATCGAGTATACCCTTACTAGCCGTTTCAGTTTGCATGTGAGTGAAAATCGGTCTGCAGGATCCACACCCACAATCCACGGTTGTATCCACCTGGAGATCTAAATCGAAACACTGTTTCGTCTCACAGTTCGCTAACAGCCCCCCTGACTATGATCAACTGCTGCTGTAATACTGCTCTACTCTTTGTTATATAATCGCCCTATTTATTTTATGTTTATATGTTGCACCTGCAATGGCGTACTTCTAAACGTCCTCGTACTTGAATCACACAGGCACGCATTTAGAAACCAGAAGCTCTGAACCTTTTGTCGAGATAGAATAACCTTATTTCACTCAACTGAATTATCTCTAAAATACCTAATAATGAAATCCAGGAGGTACAGAAAACTGGAGGTATATGCTCATTTTGAATGAGAGTTACCTCTTTTTTCTTTGCAATTTCTTGCTTTCCTACCCACAATGCCCCCCCTCCCTCCTCTCTTCATCCAAGTCTATTGCACTCTTTTCATTGCCCAGCTCACGTATTGAATCTGCCTGATGAAAACAGATCTCACTGCAGCAGCACAATAGAATGGCTGATGCAGGAAAGATGAACCCTAATGGATTTTTTTTTCAATGTGCTCAAGATTGAATATAAGGCCTGACCTCCAGATGTAGTGGATCCATTTCAACAGCAGAGATATTGTTTATAGTGAGGACACAGAAATACACAGACCCACTTGGAAACACACAAACAGTATGTCAACAGCAGCAAAATAATCCCTTTCTATCTACATGTGCATGTATTTTTTAGCACACAAAACTGTCTAAAATTAGAATTAACCCCTCGTTATTTATCTATCCGTGTCAAGTGAAGTATTCATTATGATAGAATCTCATGTTTGAACTGCAGAGTTTGCTTAATTACTCTGCTCGACAGAGTGTGTCAAGGTGAGGCACCGATTTAATAGACACTCCATTTTCAGCACAAATGAACCTCTGCTACGGTTTGGTAGTTTCGCCAGGCAGTCTATTTGACTTAGAAATGTCTGAGTTCGCTTTATATGCTGCTTTTTTTGCAATGAAGTTGAAGCAGAGCCCAGAGTTCAAGGAACTTCCCTCGGAGCCAGCTAGAAATATCAAGGTTTGGGAGGTTATAACATTTTCTTAAAGATCACTGATCATCTGGTTAAAAGCTATAATATCTTTTTGGCTTTTTCCTGATCGATTTGCTTCTAAATGAGCCTGAATGCAAACTTAATTTGGTCAAAATATCACATTCAAAATGCGTGTTGCGCTCATCTTTGTGTCTCCACTTTCAAAACTGAATCAACCCGCCAGGTTATCAGAATAGCAATTGTTTACCAGCATTAATAGTGTGTGTGTGTGTGTGTGTGTGTGTGTGTGTGTGTGTGTGTGTGTGTGTGTGTGTGTGTGTTTTGGTTACATGTTCATCATGTGCCATTTCAAACATTTCAAATCTCATGCATTTTTATCACACAACCTGAAAATACCCAATCTATTAAAACCCTCTGTAGCAGTAACAAATATCCTGACTGCTGAGCGAAACACTGGCCAATCAACCACTGTCTCCACAGTAAAGGTCATGAGCAAAATGTGAAATGAATATGAAGATAAATGACACATGAATCCAATAGCTAGGGGGGATATTGAAACATTATATATAATACATAGTATGTTTGTATTTCAGAGCAAAACCAAGCCATATTCTGGCTATATGAGGACTGTTGTTTGATCATATCTCTTCTGTTTATGATGAACATTAGAATACATCATGCTCATGCAGCTGCTTGTATTTAATTTCCATTAACAGACACTGATTTCATGTCTTTTCTGAAGACAAAGACTATTGTATGAACCCCATTCAATCTATTACATTAAAGAAAGGCACAGATGTTGAGTGTAATTATCTCTGTATCTTTTTATATCTCAGTCGATATGAAGTACGCTATGAAAGTATGATATTCTGATTTTCAAACCCTGAACATTTTTTAGATGTTAATATTTTTGACCATATGTGCTCTTTCGTTTCCAAGAAATTTTCACTTAGATCTCAGTGCTGCAATCAATAAAAAAAAAACAAACCCATTCACATCTGTCCATTGTGAAAAGGTTCCCTCGGTACCTTTTCACAATGGCCAGATTCATGTCCTACGGCAATCACTGTCATCAGGCTGAGTCAGGCCTCCTGTGTCTAGTTAGGCAGCCATCAATTAGTTGATGTATTTCTAAAGTTAGCCAGGTTCATGTGCTTGTTTTTCAATGAATGATTTTCCATTTTGGTCACTGGCAATATGGGCTAAAGAGAAAGGGTAGGGCCCACTAGTCTTTTACTCTTCTTTTGTTTGACCAGACACTGTTGGCTAGTTACGGGTGGGGGCATACAATCTATCTTGGGGGGAAGAGTGTGTTAATAGTTGTTCAGCTTTAAATATTCTGCTTTCAGTCGGAATCACCCTCGCTGGTTTACCTAATCGCATGCAGTGGTTCAGTCCAATTAGGTTGGGGCCAGGGGGGGATATAAAGCCACTTAGACACAGACTGGGAGAGTTGCTGTTAGTAGCAGCTTGCTGGGAGGTTGCAATCACGACACTTCATTTCTTTGCTTTATTTGCTCTGTGTTAATTATCCTGGACTTTTGTTCTTCTTGTCCGTTTCGTTGTGATGTTTGGTTTATGAAACCACCACCTTTTTGGGAGGCTATCTGCCTCATTCATGTAGAATTGAAGCAAATATCAAACCAGAACATGAATGCTGTTCAGTGCATCTCTATTACAATATTTACGTTTTGGTCACTGAATAGCAGGATCCAAAAAAAAGACATTACCTTGAGCTTCAATCATTTGCTCATTTCTAGCCATATGTACACTATACGAGAGACATTTGCTTACTGCAGCCTATACATTATGCGTCACGCATAAGCTTTACATAATATCATTTATTGTGATAGAAACCTGCTCTATTTCCTGCAGTTCCTATGAATGCAATTACGGTTAGGAGATGCTAATTTGTGGAGGAGTAGTTCTGCGTGGAGCTGAGGGAGTAATCAGTGCGCATTCATGTTTGAAGTCTTGACAGATTGACCGATGCATGCTGTCGAGGTAGATATGATGCTGATGGATTTACCCACAATCCTTTTCGCCATGCATCAGAGCCGACATGGAAACCACTGAACAATCATTCAGTTCCCCCACTTAGCCCCCTTTTTCATGTCTTGAAAATTACATTTACCTCATGGGCTCGTAATCTGTTTCACATTAGAGAGCGCTTTTAAACGGCTGTTTTTCAATGTTTTTGCAATATCCAAAAAGCTTTGAAAATCATTTTAAAAGGTGAAATTTGTTCAATCTCCCCGGTGCTCCATCATCTTCCCCTCCCGCTCTAAATTGCAACTTTTTTATCTGCCTCAGTGTATGCTTTTCGTGTAGGTGTGTGTGTGTGTGTGTGTGTGTGTGTGTCTGCACATGCGAGGGTAAATAGTTTGCCATCATGTCCTCCTGGGTAAAAAACACTTCTTCAACGTCCTACAGTTTTTGTAAAAGCCAGCACAGTTGAATTCACACCCCATACTAAAAGTGTTAAGTAAAACCCTTTCCTCTGAGGCATAAAATAACTTTTGTGACCATTACTGAAAATATTCTCTGACTCCTTAAACATCAGCTTTCTAGTGTTACCCTGTGGAAACGGTTCAGTCCGCGCAGTGCTACTCACCGAGGGCATTTGGCTGGAGACGAGGTGGCCGTCCTGTGCCAGCATGTTAGACATCATGAGTGTGGGCAGCTCTGGGTAGGAATACGGGTTGATGAGCCCATTGTGTTGCAGTGAGTGGCAGAGGTAGCCTGTAGAGTCGTGCTCCATCAGGTGAAGGAGAGAAGGCTCGGGGTGGTTAGGTGGAGTGATGGGGGGGATCTCGTAGTCTTCGTCTCCATTTCCACTGCCTCCTCCTCCGCCTCCTCCTCCGCCGCCAGTCTGACCTGTGTAGCTCTGAGAGAAACAAAGAGGACAAAAGTGAGAAAACTCAGATTTAAGGAAGTAGTGGATATCCGTAGATCAAACTAAAGCTAAGACATATAACTGATAGCCACATGACACGATTCCATATGGGTTGCAGATGTAGACATTCAGTTTATAGTGATAGAGTCTGAGAGAGAGAATCGTTATTTCCGGCGCCAAGAGTTCTGAAAACCCTGTTCATTTCCTGCATAGGCCATGTTATGTAACTGGAGTATACAACTCTCCAAGTTGAATCATCAGTAACACAAAAGATGAGCATTGCCTTTCAAAATTAAAAAAAAAAAAAGTCAAAGCTACAAGCCTGTGTATGTAAAATGTGAGGATACATAGTCAACTACAACTCTCAATGTGAATTTCATTAAGAAACCTCCATTAAATAAATATATTCAGCAGTTTAAATCAGTTTACTTTAGGATGAATGTGGCAACTATGGTGAGTTTAGCTAACAAATGCACTTGGAGTTTGCTACAGCTCTAATTTGCGCCTCTAATTGGCTACTTCTCCATAGCGATGCCAGCTGAGGTTCATGGGTAGTATTTAGAGCCCTTCACATTACCCCAACCCCCCACAAACACATGTCTTACTCTTTCTTCAAAAATGTTGAATTTATTAAAACTAACATTTAGACAGACGTATTATTGTTTGTATCAATATATAGTATATATTGTTTGTTAGGCAACACGACTTTCTTCGAAGGAAATGCTTTTTGTCTCAATGCATATTTCTTTTGTATATCTAAACATGATTGATCCAAAATAAATGTTAAAATGAATATTAATGTTTTTATGCTTCATTAAAACACTTCTGTGTAAAGTAACCGTTGGTGTAAATACAACCATAAGGATCGTTAATACGTTAGCATCTCGTTCCCCTATGGATTCAGTTCCTACAAATAGCTTTGTAAACTGTTTGAATTCTGATCTGTCATTTTTGTTAGAAGAGGTGTAATTTAGTTTCATATTTTTAACGTCTCATTTTGGAACAAAAACTCAGCCGATCAGTGATAAATAACACCAACAGCCTCTGTATTTGTGTGCTGTCGCGCTAACACAGTAAGTCCAATCAGATCAGAGTCCTGCACAGAGCAAGAAGAAAAGAAAAATAGCAGGGAAATGGGGAATGAAAAGCAATTTTGTCTGAGACTATCCAACTTGACTCCCATTGTAATGACTGATTCAAATTAATCATCACAAATAATATTCTGGTGTCAGCCATTCAAGGGTTTTTTAATAGAATTTTTATGATTCATGTCTAGCAGTATACATCAAACAGTCAGTTCTGCAACATTTCTGAAATAAATTCAATATCATCTTTGTGTAGGCTGTCATCCTCGGCAGCAGAGTGGTCATTTATCTCTCAAACAGATACTTTTAGAAAATAAGGGGCATGGGGAGATGGAAGAAAGGAGAGAGGATACGGGGCACATTTCTTTTTTCTTGTTTCACTCAACCTATAAAGGTGAGCATAAAGGCCCATTCTGTGCTACTGCGTCCATATAAATTACAGGTTTGTTAAGATATATAACTAAAAAGGATAGCTTCCTAATTATTAATTACCATTTTTCAGCTGTTTGGAATAAATAAAGGAAACAAGAAGGCCTGCCAACAAACCTCAAAAAAACTGAAATTAAAAAAAGATGGGTTTTGTTGCCTTTTTCTCATTTGGATCACAAATTTGACGTACATAGTAACTGACAATCTTGTTTTTACAACACTTGCTTTCAGCAGGATTAAAATGTATCAAAAGTCTTTTTAAATGAATACCAATCTAAGGCGGTAAGCACAAAGCCAGATGAGAGGAATTTCATTAAGTTACAATACCTAAAACACTAAAACACCCATCTTTAATTTGACCACAAAAAAAGGACGTCAGCGATGTTTTTATTGTGAAGCAAGAATGTAGACACAGACTCAGCGTTTATGGCACACTTTCATCTTCCTACATGTAACACCAAATGAAAAACAGTAAAAAACAAAAGTGTGATTGTCTCAATTAGATTTACTTTGTCCTGACATAGCCTGCAAGCCAGTTGATATTAATTTTCTGGACTGTCCTTGTGAAGACAGATGTTTTTTGTAAACCTTTGGGGATAGTGTTATTGTATTGGACAAGAAAACGAACATTTCCTGAGATTCAATTTATCTCATAATTGTTGGAAGGAAGCTAAATTGTCTGCAATAAACATTGGGGCCATTGTGTAAAAGTGAGTCCCGGTGCGCCCGGTCCATCGGAGCCTCTGCATTCACCGTCATTTTTCACTGCGCTTCACTTACGACTGGGGGGTGACCACTGTGTACCGTGAAGGCCGCCACGCTTAGTCATCATCTAGCATGTTCATCAGCCTTTTATTTTCTCCGTGTATACATTGATATCCACTCCACATAAACATTTTCCTGGTCCCGTCCATGGCTTTTGATTGTGCAAAGGGATGCAGACTGAGGATGTGTCATGTGTTAAGATTGCTGTGAGGGCTCATCCAGTGCCCTTGATGATAAAATGTAAATACCAAGGACCTTCCCAGTTGGATTGTGGGAAGATAAATTATTCATATTCCTCTATTCAGAATGAGCTTGCATGTACAGAGCTAACATGTGCACTCTAGCTAATGTATACTATTTTCTCCTTTTTAAAAGTAAAATCCAAACAAAAGCAATGCATTTGATGGATCATGCGGACCAGCATGTGTCCTAGTATGGAATTAACTTTTCAAACAAAAGCCTCCTCTTTGTTCCCCCCCCATATGAGGTACTTGTCACGGGGTCACTTTCAATAGTCAGGGTCACATTCCTACCAAAAGCTGCGTTACACAGATTCTATTTTCTTCCAGAAACATCCTTTATTTTCCTCATCTGATGAATAGCGGCGTTATTTCCAATACACAGTATGCTCAGTCTGCACAGCGAGCGAAACACAATCTGTAACATTTTAATTAAGAGACAGATCTCTCGACTGTAAGTGTTACATAGCAGCACACCTTTCATTTGAAAGAAACAGATGAATAGACAGTTGGTCTGGGACTGAGAGAGAAAATAACATTGATTGGGGAGCATTCCAGCTTGTCTTTTATTTTGGCACAGAGCTCTCCCTCCCTCTGTAACACTGCCCGAGTATCCAAGGCCTTCTGGAGATGATATTGATTGTGGCTAGTGGCTCATTATCTGTACATTCACCTTCTTTTTCTGAGATTATTGTTGTAATGCTTGTAGAAATCTGGATTTTTAGGACATAGCCCAATTAATATTAAATTGTATATTCTGAAAAATGATTCACTGTCAAATATAAATTCAAATGTACAATAAAAGAGCTGCATGCTTTTTAGTATTTGTAAAACATGACATGATCTTGGCATACTGTTGTATATGCAACTATTTTGATAATTGATTAATTGTTTATGCCATTTAAAAATTAAAAATGTAAAAGATAATCTGCTTCCAGCTTCTCAGAAGTCCGTATTTTCTGCTTTTCTTTGTTTTACATTATTGAAAATTTTTTTAATACGTCACCTTGGACTCTGGGTAATGAGCACATTTGTCATTATCTTTTGAAATTCCACATCGTCAATAGTTAATCAACTAATCAAGACAATATTCAGCCGATAAATCTATAATGAAAATAATCATTAGTTACAACCCTAGTCGTATTATTAGTTTCTTACTATATTACCTAAAAAGGAACATCATAATACAAACAGGTGGCCCATGCATGGTGAACATTTGCTATATTTATAAAAATAATCAAGAAAGAAATTAAGCCACACAATAAGAACATGCATGGTGAGCATATTCAGACGCAGAGTTTGGAGTCCTCTCAAGTCAGTGTTGGTTTCGGGGAGAGAGGGCGGGACCGACAGCTCGGAGACAGACGATGACAGATCTGCCTTACCACTAATGTGCACTTATCTGCCTATTGGAGAGCTTTGTCACAGCGGTGATTTATGCTCAAAATCCCCCACACACACTACCACTTCCATCACCACCGACACTCTTCGTTCCAACACCTTCCTGTGGCCGACGTGCAGCACTCTGCACACAGAGACCAAGTCGGGCTCCGTTATCTCTCCTTTCAACGCAGTCCGGTTTGCAAGGAAAACGGTGGATTTATCTTTGGGAAGAATTTGAGGGCATCATCCATTTTCATTCGCTCTGCCATCGCTCTCCCAGTGGAAGATTATACTGTATATTTATGAATGATCCTGTTTACTAGTGTACACAGAGCTCTTGTTTTAATGGAACACAGCAGAGGCAAATAGCTGTCGTCAGACTACAAAGATCACTTACTTTCAAACGCTTAACGGCATGAACTGAACTGTTTATTGGGCTGTTTGTTTTTTGATACTCCTATTTTCCCTTTCCTCTTTCTCTCTCTCCTTATCCCTCCATCTCTCTCAGTCAACTCAGGCTTAATTAAAGCCATAGTCTTTCTTCTGCTACAATATCATTTCAGGGGGGGGTATCGACACACCACAAAGCCTTCTCCAGCAGAGCCCAAAGAGAGGGAGGGGGAGTGGGCCATAGATCCAGTTACAGCCACCCTACACCTCCACTCTCCTCTTCCTCTCTTGGCTGGCCCAACGCCAGCCTGGCCTGTCCCTCACAGAGCCCAAACAGTTCTGGTCCCTGCTCCACATCCCCCGGACCCGAATCAACCCCTCCCTCTTTGGCTTATTCCCCTGCCATCTCATCTCCCTCTAAAACCGCCAGGCTGCATTATTTATCTGTCACTATGTTACTGTTTGGAAATCATGAAAGGGACTGTGGGGATGGGGATGCTAAATCGCCATGTACTTGGTTTCTGTTGGGTGAAAGGATGGGATGGCCGGGGGGGGTGGGGGGACTGGGAGGCAGTGAGACAGGGAAAAAATAATGTCACAGTCACGCTCTTTCTAGGAAATAAAATCCAGCCACTATCTCTTCAGCCCTGGCCGCAGCTCTGTGAAGAAAATGCTTCTTATTTATCGTTATGGGAAGGAA